AGTAAAAAGTAGACTGAGTGCATTTTTTGGACAGAGATTCACTTTTAATGTGAATGTATAATAAAATACAGACACATAAATAAATGCACTCCAAAAATAGAAGAGTCCTTGAAATGTACAAATGTACAAAATATTAATAACAAATTATAAAAATGGAGGCAACTTTGCCTACAGTACAGTGTATACAATGTATGACCTGTGAGAGGAATAATGGTTTGGTCTGTGACAGCTGAAGGTGTTTAAGGCTGCCCGATGTCTTTAGACCTGATGGTTGATTGTACTGTGAAGAAGCTCGATGTGTGGACTGTGTTGTAAGAAGAGCTGTATGGCAAATAAACGTAAGTTTGTTCCACTAAAATTGTCCCATCTGCTTCACTGTAAATCCAGCCATGAAGGGCCAACCTGTTACAATAACAACAAAACAAACAAACAAAGAAACAAACACTTCTGCGACCAAAAGATAGTTTTGGTTTTCAAATGTTACCCTTCATACTACTAATATATATATATAGTCCAAATTTAATTTGCATTTCCATTAAATTAAAATTTTATTATTGACTCTTTTACAAACCCCATGCTGTGCAACGCCCTTGACCTTTTCTCTGACTGTTTTCTTTAAAACTGTTGCATCAAAACTTCTAATTTATCCCTATTTCATCGAGTTGTTGAGTATTTTTTTAAAGGCACTTGTTGCATGTTGCACACAGGCTGTTCTGCCACAGAAGCAGGACAACTGAAGCAATGCTGTGGTGCCACCTGCTGGCTAATTGCACTTCCATTTGTTTGTCACATTGACAAAAAGCAGTTAAAATACTGAATAATTTTGTTATTATGTATTTACATTTTCTAGTAGATATGAGAGTTAAAAACATCACTGCCATTTCTGTGCTATGATATACTCTGCATACAGTGTTTATTGACAGAAATTAACAGAAATAAAACTGCATTTGAAACGTGTAAATATTACTTTGAATGCACGTTACTAATTATTTCCAACCAGAATGCTTTGCTAAACATATGAATATTTATTTTTTATTTTATTTCTGGATAAATAAATTTAGTCCTTTATTTATCCAGGTAAAAAAAATCTCATTTAGATTAAAAATCTCATTTCCAAGAGAGACCTGCCATCATGGCAACAAAAATCAAAATACATGTAGCACACAAGTACATAACATTTAAAACAAATACAACATCCCAACTTTATAGATGAGGTCACACAAAATACTTAACTAATAATAAGTAACTGCCTGAATTACATTATGAAATCGTAGTTTTAAAACCTCTTTAGTATACTCACAACTAGCTCATTTTATAATCTGCAAATGTATCGATGCACATTGAAATAGTTCATGAATCAATTATTTAGACTTTTTAAATAATGCTACACTCTTAGAAACGCTGTATTAAAAATGACCCAATCAGTAACCCAACGCTGGGTTGTTTCAACTTAACAGGGTTGGTTTACTGGTTTCACCAAGCACACTGGGTTAGGAGAACTATCCAAAAATTGGGTTAAATTGACCAATGTTTGAAGTTGAGGTTACCAAAATTTGGGTTGAAAGTCAGAACCCATGGGTTATATTACCATTAATGTTTGAGTTAAGATTTCTACTTGCTATAAAATTCAGCATATAATAACTAGATTCAAAACATAATAAAATAAAAATATTTTTATTGCCATATGATATACAGAACATATTACATAGAACAAATTAAATGTGAAAACTCTTAACTTTTAAAAAAACTGATGACTTGATGATTATCTCAGGACTCAACATACATCAACACTTTGGAAAAGTGCCAGAGGGAATCTCCCTCTCACATTATTTCATGCACCGTTATGAGCAACATTTACGCTTCCATCGTAACTAAAAGAGCCCTCATTCATTTGACCATATTTGGTTCATGTCCTGGGATTCATCTATTCCTGGTATAGATGACAGTGCGAAGGGATTCCTGAACCTGGGCCATGACTTTGGGTAACTTTCATCAAAAACTGTCACGGTCAGCGAGGCGAGCTGTGTGGAATTTATTAAAAGACTGTCGGAATGAGAAAATTATTTTACTGTTACTATTCATGACCATTATTATTACTGTTGCATTACTTATCATTTATCATTATCACTTCATTAGAGCATTTATGGAAACTGTTGATGTTACATTAAAGTTTGTATTTCAGGTGTTAGCTGAACCACATAATAATCTTTCATTGCAGGTGCAGCTGTAATCATGT